GGGACCGGGAGCTGGGGACAGCTGGGGGAGCTCCTTGCCCAGGGCTGGGGCCAGCTGCCCTCCCTCCCTTGCTGTCCATCCCTCGCTGGCCATCTCTGTCCATCCCATCTCTGTCCATCTCTGTCCATCTATCCCTGTCCATCCCACACCATCCATCCCTGTCCATCCCTCCCTGTCCAGCCCTCCCTGTCCATCTCTGTCTATCTATCCCTGTCCATCCCACACCATCCATCTCTGTCCATCCCTCCCTGTCCATCCCACCCTGTCCATCTCTCCCTGTCCGTCCCTGTCCAGCCCTCCCTGTCCATCCCTGTCCATCTATCCCTGTCCATCTCTCCCTGTCCATCCCTCCCTGTCCATCCCTCACTGTCCATCCCTGTCCATCCCTCCCTGTCCATCCCACCCTGTCCATCTCTCCCTGTCCNCTGTCCATCCCACCCTGTCCATCTCTCCCTGTCCGTCCCTGTCCAGCCCTCCCTGTCCATCTCTGTCCATCCCACCCTGTCCATCTCTGTCCATCCCACCCTGTCCATCTCTGTCCATCCCACCCTGTCCATCCCTCCCTGTCCATCCCTGTCCATCCCTGTCCGTCCCACCCTGTCCATCTCTGTCCATCCCTCCCTGTCCCTCCCTGTCCATCCCTGTCCATCTCTGTCCATCCCTCCCTGTCCCTCCCTGTCCATCCCTGTCCATCCCTGTCCCCCGCTGTCCCCGCTGTCCCCGCTGTCCCTCCCTCGCCCGGATCACGTTCCGAGCTCTCACAGGTCCAGCCCAGCCGCCCCCTCTCTCCCATCGCCATCCCAGCCCCGCCAGCCCCGCCGGGGGAAGGAGCAGCAGCGGCCGCGAGGGCTCGGCAGCTCCCGGAGCTCCCGGGGCCGGTGCCGGTGCCCATGGCCGGGGAGATGCCGGGCGAGCCCCGCACGCTGCGGCTGCAGCACGGGAACCGCATCGAGGCCCTGTGCGTGCTGGGCGGCCACGTCCGCGCCGACGTCTTCGGGTGAGAGGGACCCCCAAACTTCCCTTCCTCCTGCTCCTCTTCCACCTTCCCCCCCGCTTTTCCTTCCCTCATTTCTCCTCCTGCTTTTCCAAACCCCACTGCTGCTCCGCAGCCGCGTCCACGCTGGTGTCCATGGGTGAGAGGGACCCCACAAAACCTCCTTTCCTCCTCCTCCTCCTCCACCTTTCTGCTCACCTTTCAACCCTGTTTTGCCCTCTGGGAATGCCTGCTCCTCGTTTTTCCTCCTGCAAATCCCTGCTCCTCATTTTCCTTCCTACAAATCCCTGCTCCTACTTTTCCTCCCGTTTTCCCAAACCCCACAGCTGCTGGGCAGCCACATCCATGCTGATGCTCATAGGTGAGAGGGACCCCTAAAATTTCCTTTCCTCCTTGTTTTTCCCTCTGTTTATCCCTCTGGGAATCCCTGCTCCTCCTTCCTCCTGCTTTTCCAAACCCCACAGCTGTTGAGCAGCTACACTGATGTCCACAGATGAGTGAGACCCCCCCAAACTTCCTTTCCTCCTCCACCTTCACCTTCCTCCTCACCTTTCCTCCTGTTTATCCCTCTGGGAATCCCCACTCTTCGTTTTTCCCTCTGCCTTCCCAAACCCCAAAGCCCTTTTGACACCGTTTTGATGCAATTTGTGGGCAAAATCCTCCCGAGCTGCAGGAATCCCTGGAAAGCTTTGAACATCCCTGCATTTACCCCAGCCCACAGCAGCTCTGACCCGCTGGGCTCAGCAGACCCAGGGGAGGTGAGGAGGGCAGAGGGACGAGCAGGAGCCCGGGGAGGGGCTGCAAAATAAGGGAAGAACACAAAATCTCTTGACCAAAACCTTGGGAAAGTGGGAAATCCCCACAGCGCCAAGCCCCGCTTCCCTAGAACAAACCCAACGCTGAACTTGGGGATAATCGTTCCCCCTAAGGGAAAAAGAAGGTGAAAAGCTCATTCCAGGCTGGATTCTGGTCGGTGCTGCTGTTGCAAATCCCAGCCTTGATATTCAAGCCAAGCAGCGCAGTTCCAGCTCCCCTGGCACCTCTCCAGGCCAAATCCCTTCCCAGCGGGATCCCCAGATCCAAGGAACCAGGAAACCAAACCAGTTTTTCCATGTGTAATTAAAAGCAATTGAAGGATTTAAGGAACACCCAGGCGGGCGCAAAGGAGCGCTCGGATTTCCTCCCCCCTCGCCAAGGGTGCGGGTTTGGTGGGACAAGAAACCTGATCAACGCAAGGTCTCGGGTGTCGGGGCAAAGAACCCATAAATAATAACCTAGAAAGGCAGGGAATTTCGGGAAAAGGAGCCAGGAGAGGGGAAGAGCAAGGGCACATCGGACTGGGAGCAGGGCAGCACTGACAGCTTTGGGACTGGATAAAATCCTCCCAAAAATGAGAGTTTCCCATGGAAAACCCTCTCAGGGAGATGGCCACAGTGTGTTGAGGAGTTTATAAACCGTGCTGGAAAATAAACAGGGATTTCTCCGGGGAAGTGCGAGCCCGGGTTCTTTGGGATTATTGCAAATCCTTACCCACAGCAATGGCTGCAAACACTCACGGGGCTAAGCCGGGCCTAAACCCAGGGTAATTCCAGTTCCCAGGCAGGAGCAGGGCAGGAAGGTGCCAGCGGTCAGCGTGGAGACGCTGGCGTGCCCGGTCTTGGCCGTGCTCGGGGCAGTGGCACGAGTCCCGGTGGGAACGCCGCGCTGGCCCTGCGCCTCGCTGAGAATTCCGGGTGTTTGTGGCAGGGCGGCCCCCGCCGGGGCCGTGGCCTTCGGCGTGAAGCACACGGAGGGGGTCAGCGTGGACGTGCTGCTCCGCGGCCGCGCCGAGCCCGAGGCCGTGTCCGGCGCCGGCACGCGGTGGCCGCTGGACGAGGGGACGGTGCTGAGGTTCAGCATGAGCCGCGCCAGCTCCGAGGTCAACGACAACAAGGTGAGGAGTGGAATCCCAGGAGCGCGATCCCAGGAGTGGGACTATCGTTATTTGGGGTTATAGATAAATTACGAATGGGATGGGATTGTTGTGCTACGCGTTTTGAGCTGTTTATTTTTTAGCATCAGTCTCATTATATGGCTATGACAATGGGAAGATGTCAGCAGCTCACATCTAGGCAACAGACTAAGAACTCAATGTTACAACTTAATTTATAAACTTTTTGACCAGTCACACACAGCAAAAGCACATTGGCAGTAGTTCTATCTAATTACTATAAGCACACGTACCTTTGGTTAAAACAATGCTTGCTTATTTTGAATACAATACTTGCTTGTAAGCCTCAAGATACCATGCACAGAGCTCCATTATTTATCTTAGACTTTCCTAATATCTCAGCAGACATACTTTTCTGCAACTTAGGAATTTCTTCTACCTAAGCGTTAATACACAGACCATTGTTGTGTTTGTCCTTGCTTTTTACTTCTTGTATACTTTTTTTTGCTGACAAATTTTATAGCTACTGCTTAGCTTTAATCACCATCCTGCTGTCTCTGAGGCCTGCCCCTCGCAATGTGCCCCAAACCCTCTGACTTTAAAAAATCCCACACGGGACCTCCACGGAGGGGAATGTCCTGCCCCAACGTGGGGTTTGGGGTTTGCAGGTCACCGTCAGCTTTTACGCCGAGGGAGGGAAGCCCATCAACCAAGCCGGGGTGTTCCTCACTGGCGTTGGTGAGTCCGATGAGTCCCTCCCTGTCCCCTCGTGCCGGGAGCAGGGGCAGGGGTGGGCACGGCAGACCCAGGGCTGCTGGCCCCGGGGGTTTGCCACCCGACCCCCTCGCCGTGCCCGGGGTGAGGCGGCTCTGTCCCCGCAGGGATCTCTCTGGACGTGGACGCGGATCGGGATGGAGTGGTGGAAAAGAACAGCCCCAACAAGGTACCCGGCCTCCCCCACCCGCGGAAAATCCACTCGGCGAGTCCTGAGCCCGCTGAAGGCCAGGGGTGCTTTAGGCGAGCTGGGCCTGGGGGCCGGAGGGACACGGGGCCATCCTGCTGGTCAGCTGTGACAAGGAGTTCCCCTTCATCCCGCCCTCCGACTGCGACAGCGAGCCGCTGTTCAGCAGGGAAGGTAACGGCTCCCCAAAGCCCCTGTCCCCAAAATCCCCGTCATCCTCTCTCTGTGACCTTCCCTGAGAGGAACCAGACCAGGACCCAG